TCTAGTGGATACCAGGTGATGGAGGCCCTTGTGCTATAAAAGGAGATCTTTAGTGCTTGGCTGTCTCAGAGGACTCCTTAAATTGTCTATTAATCTATTAATTAATAATTAATAGATTAATACATTAATCTATATTAGTGTTAGAATTGGGGATGCAAATTCTATATTAATATATTGTGGCTCCTCAGACTGATGAAGTCCTTTGGATGAAGGACAAAACATCTTAACAAAAAAAATAAAATAATTAATAATAAACTGTCCAGATGACCTGACTGAATGAAGTTGTATTTTTTTTTAACCTGGATTATTGAGCATGAACTTTGATGTTTTGTCCCACTTTGGCTTTGGCTGCCTCAGGGGAGTCAACGAGGGAGAGGGTGGACTCCAGAAACCATCTTATCACCAGCAAACTGGTTGGTCCACAACGTGCGGCTTGTGGGACTGAGTTTGTTTGTGGCTCCTCGGACTGATTAAGTCCTTTGGATGAAGGACGAAACGTCTCAACAACAAAGAAAGAAACCGTCCAGATGACCTGAATGAACAATGTTGGATTTTTTTACCTGGATTAATGAGCATGAACTTTGATATGAGATGAATTGTGTAACTTTGGACCTTTTATCTCTGCCTGCTTGTTGCACTTTAAATCAACTCACTTTACGCTTTGACACTGGTGCAAAAAACTGGGCGTGACAGAATCTGATCGTGTCCGTGTGTCACGGGGCCTTCAGATATTCAAATCAAAACAATAAAGCCAACTTAGCTGTATTTTCAGCGCCTCCTAAGAATTTAATGTGTGTGTCCACATGCGTTTAGAAACATAAAGCATGTCCAGAAACAACAGGTAGAACCAAAATGTACTAAAATGATAATGTAAAAGACAAAAGACAGAAAAACATCAGTTTATCAGATAAAAGCGAAAATAAAATCATCTTACAAATTGGAGTTTTGTGGAAAAGTTACGAAGAGTTAATATCTAACCTGTTGTAGATAGCTCAGAGTGTGTAGTTTTATTACTATATTAAGCTGAAGTTTGGTGTGGTAGTCGCTGGGAGTCATTTACGACAGTTTTGCAATACTGAATATTTTACCATTTGATTAAAACATCCATAACTCTGTCTTTTCCCAATATAAAATCATTTTAGATCAAAGCTCTGACCTGAAAGGCGACGGGTGATGCGCTTTCCTTCAAGGAATACTGGGACCTTTTACTCTGACCGAACTGATGAGCTGACAACTAGTCTGAGTGAGACCAAGAACAAAACGGATTTCTGCCATATTAAAACAACGTTCATCGCAAATATTTTATAACAATTAATGCAAACCATTTTTTAAATAAATATTTACATAGAAATCATTTTAGAACATATAATTATGGGATGCACGATGTTGGATTTTTGGCCGATATGTTAAAACTTATTTGGCCGATAGCCGATACCGATACCGATATTTTATATACAGCCATTTGCATAGCACTTTACTTTATATTAAATGACAAGAGTTAAATGTTATTTATTAGAATTAGTCACCTGCGATGCTGTCTCACTTGTGGAGGCTTGTTCCAGGTCCCTATAGCTGCAGTGTGGGATCCTCTGCACTCCTGTGCATGAAGGACGGCCTTTTTAAGTTCAAAGTATCCATTGTTCCGTAAGACTAATCATGCTAACGAGGCTAACATGGCGTCCACATGTCTGTGGTAAATCTCACCCAAGTGCTATCAGCTATTAGTGTCTCAATGACGTCGGAAATGACGGCTTGTAACTCGGGTAAGGCTACATCGGAAAAATATCTTCGACTGGAGACGATGTAGCGAGGCTCAACGTAGTCCAAATATCTTCAGAATCCAATATCGTCGAGGATAAAAAAAACTTCCACACCGCCGACATTTTGACTTTTTCCTCTCCGCCATGATCAGATCAGGTAGTCGCTTGTGATGTCATCACGTTGTGCTGGCGCTGCTGTCATCCTCGTCATTGGATTGTCGTACAAAAACAGCGTCTTTTATATCGGTGAGTTATTTTGATGGAATGTCCGATATTTAACTTTAACTCTAATATCGATACCGATACCATGTCGATAATATTCTGCATCCCTCATCATTATGTAAATAAACCAAAGCTTAAAATGATCTGTTACCTTTTAAAATATATATTTTATTGCATTGGGCCGCTAGTTGAACAGCCCTGCTTTAATCTGTGGTCGCGCAAAGAGTTATCTACAACAGGTAACATATTGATTGCTCACAACTTTTTCCACAGAGCCTCACTCCAAATGATCTGAACTGTTGCTTTAAGGGTGATGGATGACCATTGGACCCTGAGAGCGAGCCGATAAACACCTGTTCGGTTTCAGGAGTGTAAAATTTAAAAAGGAAAAAAGAAAAGAACATAGAGGAAAAAACTGAGTAAGACAGAGGTTAGGGGGAGGAGAAACAGTGGGTCGTATAAATCATTATTCATATCTGTGGAGGCAGACACATCTCACGGAGCTGCAGCAGACCTCACTCACTCCCATCCACTCCACAGATGGTCACACTTACATGACAAGCTTTACATATTTGTTTTTATTTTTTTTTTTTTACGTTAAATCTGGATATCCCATTTTTGATCTAACCAGCAGGCCAAGGAGGGCGGGTGGGCGTCATGGATCCAATTGTGGAAGTAGTTGCTTTGGTTTTGGGGTTCATTGGGTGGGTGATGGTTGGGATAGCGCTGCCGAACCGATACTGGAAGACCTCCACGGTGGACGGGAGTGTCATCACCACCTCCACCATCTATGAAAACCTGTGGATGTCCTGCGCCACGGATTCAACCGGGGTCCACAACTGCAGAGAGTTTCCTTCGCTGCTCGCTTTGAATGGTACGTTACTGTCAAGAACAAGCAATGAATCAAACTAAAGTAGGGATTTAATATAATTGTTAATGAATAAGATTATAAATGTTCCTTTGTAACCCCTCAAAGCTCATTACGCCACAAATTTACAATCAGGTGGGTTTATAAATTAAGATTAAACTTAATTTGGTTCCCCTTTTTGTGTTTTAACACCCAGGTTACATCCAGGCTTCTCGGGCCTTAATGATTGTATCAGTAGTGCTGGGTTCCTTTGGACTGGTGGGGGCCCTGATAGGAATCCAGTGCTCGAAAGCAGGAGGGGAAAACTATGTTCTCAAAGGGAGGATCGCAGGCACCGCTGGGGTCCTATTTATTCTGCAAGGTAACAAAAAAAAAAAGTCAACCTGTGGAATTTCTTTCGACCCTCTCCGATAATTATTGTATGAGCTGATAGAACTCTGGAAAGATCATAAATCTGGTTTTATTGCACATTTAACCCTCAGAAGGTCTCATGGGGGGGGGGGGGTGTGTGTCAGCTACGTGTTTGTTCACTGCGCATCATGAAGCACATTTTTCTTCTGACAAAGCCAAAAAATCCCTGTAACTATTTATTATTTTGTCAGAATTGTTTAAAATGCTCCCGTTGCCTCACATTACTGCCCTCTAGTGTTCCTTACGGAAAAAACTGACCATAAGAAAATCCCAATATAAATGCATTTTTGGATCCGATAACAATCATAACATAAAATAATGCATTCCTTGCGATAATAAAATAAATAAATAAAAAATTTAAATAAATAAAAAAAAAATATATATATATACTAACATAGATTAGTCCCTCATTTATCGTGGGGTTTAGGGGACCACACAGCGATAAGTGAAAAACCGCCAAATACAAACCGGATTCCAAAAAAGTTGAGACACTAAACAAATTGTGAATAAAACCTGAATGCAATGATGTGGAGATGCCAACATCTAATATTTTATTCAGAATAGAACACAAATCACAGATCAAAAGTTTAAACTGAGAGAATGTATCATTTTAAGAGAAAAATCTGTTGTTTCCAAATTTCATGGCGCCAACAAATCCCAAAAAAGTTGGGACAAGTCCATTTTACCACTGTGTGGCATCCTCCCTTCTTCTTACAACACTCAACAGACGTCTGGGGACAGAGGAGACCAGTTTCTCCAGTTTAGAAATAGGAATGCTCTCCCATTCATGTCTAATACAGGCCTCTAACTGTTCAATCGTCTTGGGCCTTCTTTGTCACACCTTCCTCTTTATGATGCGCCAAATGTTCTCTATAGGTGAAAGATCTGGACTGCAGGCTGGCCATTTCAGTACCCGGATCCTTCTCCTACGTAGCCATGATGTTGTGATTGCTGCAGAATGTGGTCTGGCATTATCGTGTTGAAAAATGCAGGGTCTTCCCTGAAAGAGATGACGTCTAGATGGGAGCATATGTTGTTCTAGAACCTGAACATAGTTCTCTGCATTAATGGTGCCTTTCCAGACATGCAAGCTGCCCATGCCACAAGCGCTCATGCAACCCCATACCATCAGTGATGCAGGCTTCTGAACAGAGCGTTGATAACAACTTGGGCTATCCTTGTCCTCTCTGGTCCAGATGACATGGCGTCCCAGTGTTCCATAAAGAACTTCAAATCGTGACTCATCTGACCACAGAACAGTCTTCCATTTTGCCACACTCCATTTTAAATGACCCCTGGCCCAGTGCAAACGTCTGAGCTTGTGGAGCTTGTTTAGAAATGGCTTCCTCTTTGCACTGTAGAGTTTCAGCTGGCAACGGCGGATGGCACGGTGGATTGTGTTCACCAACGATGCTTTCTGGAAGTATTCCTGAGCCCATTCTGTTATTTCCTTGACAGTGGCATTCCTGTTTGAGGTGCAGTGACGTTTAAGGGCCTGGAGATCACGAGCATCCAGTAGAGTTTTACGGCCTTGACCCTTACGCACAGCGATTGTTCCAGATTCTCTGAATCTTTTGATGATGTTATGCACGGTTGATGATGATAACTTAAAAGTCTTTGCTATTTTACGCTGGGTAACACCATTCTGGTATTGCTGCACTATCTTTCTGCGCAACAATGGTGGAATTGGTGATCCTCTTACCATCTTGGCTTCTGAGAGACACTGACACTCTGAGAAGTTCTTTTTATACCCAATCATGTTGTCAATTGACCTAATTAGTGTTAGTTGGTCTTCCAGCTGTTCGTTATATGCTCAATTTCCTTTTTCCAGCCACTTATTGCTACTTGTCCCAACTTTTTTGGGATTTGTTGACACTGTGAAATTTTGAATCAACATATTTTTCCTTTAAAATGTTACATTTACTCAGATTAAACTTTTGATCTGTCATCTAAGTTATATTACGAATAAAATATTGACATTTGCTATCTCCACATCATTGCATTCAGTTTTTATTCACAATTTGTTTAGTGTCCCAACTTTTTTGGCATCCGGTTTGTGTATATATATATATATATATAATATATATATATATATTATATTGTTTGTGTATATATATACATATATATATATACATATATATATATATATATATATATATATAAAGGCTTTATAAACCCTGCCCACAGTCTTGCAATTGAACCTAGAAGTTCTAAAATAATTATATAAAAATTTTAAGAGTTTGATATTTTGTGATGATGACGATTTTACGATGTGATATACTTTGAATTTTAAGTCGGAAGACAAAAGTGGATCAGTGCAACTGGACCGCTAAGGGTTAACCCTTCACAAAGCCACTGCAGCATGGAACTGAACTGTGTGGGTGGCAGAGAGCAGAGGGAGCTTCTCCCTGCACCTGTGGGCTGCACACAGGTGCTAAATCCATCCATTATCTTTTACCTGCTTCTTCCATTTTGGGTCACGTGGGTCGCTGATGCCCATGTCCAGCAATCACTGTGCGAGGGGCGGGGTACACCCTGGACGGGTCACAAGTCCATCACAGGGCCACATAGAGACAAACGAGACAAACAACCATTCACTCTCTCACTCACACTATAGGGACAATTTAGAGTTACCAATCAGCCTAACATGCATGTTTTTGATCTGTGGGAGGAAACTGGAGTACCCGGAGAAAACCCACACATGCACGGATAGAACATACAAACTCCACCCAGAAAGGACCCCGGACCGCAATTTGAACCAGGGACCTGTTCGCTGAGAGGCAGCAGCTCTACCAGTTGCGCCACCGTGCTGCCCCAGGTGCCAAATCATTTAAAATAATTTATTTTAAATAAACAATCCATGGCTCATCCATCAATCAGCCAAGTGTGTGTCCTGTCCAATCTCTTACTTTGAAAAAATGTGAAAGAGCGAAGAATCGTATGCTCAACGGCTCAGTCAGAACAGCTTACTCCTGTTGGCTTGACTGAAATCAGGTCAGTGATAGCGGATGCACCGTCCTGCAGCAGCTGGTGGTTCAATGTATTCATTTCAGAAAAGGCAGAAGAAGCAGAAACTGACATTGTGCATGAGTAGAGTTAAATAATAATATTAGTAACAATAATAATAATTAAACAAACGAGGAAAACTAATAATAATAATGAAACTCTGAGTCACACACATAATAATAATAATAATATAGTATTATTATTATATTAACCAGAATATTAGATTCTTATCTAAGTGATAAGGGCAGCACTTCACAACAAAGCTGCAGCCTCCGTGCACTGTCATCTACCCTTGTTGCACGGCTGCAATAAAATGTATTTTCACTGTGTTTAACTGTGCAATGACAATAAAGTTGATTCTGATAAGATTAATATAAAATAAGGCCTTGTTTTCAGCAACTGGTGGGCTGGAGGATCTTCACAAAACTCCAGACTGGAATTGATCGTTTATTTATTAATTTATTTGTAATTCTGGGTATAGTAATGAGACTAAATAACTTTATTAAGGAAAACAGTCCTTAATTTAATATGTTGTTGATTTGTTTTTAAATAAATTAAAAACTAAAATTAACAAAAAAATTAAAG